TCGTTTGTCTGTAAAGCTTTTGATTTCTCCATCGAATCTGAATAAGATCTGTGCCGGGTAGAGTAATCTTGGTTGTAGGTTCTTCCCTTTCATCACTTTAAGTATATCATGCCACTCCCTTCTGGCTTGTAGAGTTTCTGCTGAGAAATCAGCTGTTAATCTTATGGAAGTTCCCTTGTATGTTATTTGTCATTTTTCCCTTGCTGCTTTCAATAATTTTTCTTTGTCTTTAATTTTTGCCAATTTGATTACTATGTGTATCGGCGTTGTTTCTCTTTGGGTTTATCCTGTATGGGACTCGCTGTGCTTCCTGGACTTGGGTGGCTATTTCATTTGCCATGTTAGGGAAGTTTTCGACTATAATCTCTTCCAATATTTTCTTGGGTCCTTTCTCTCTCTCTCCTCCTTCTGGGACCCCTATAATGTGAATATTGTTGCATTTAATGTTGTCCCAGAGCTCTCTTAGGCTGTCTTAATTTCTTTTCATTCTTTTTTCTTTATTCTGTTCTGCAGCAGTGAATTCCACCATTCTGTCCTCCAGGTCACTTATCCATTCTTCTGCCTCAGTTATTCTGCTATTGGTTCCTTCTAGTGCAGTTTTCATTTCAGTTATTGTATTGTTCATCTCTGTTTGTTTGTTCCTTAATTCTTCTAGGTGTTTGTTAAACATTTCTTGCATCTTCTTGATCTTTGCCTCCATTCTTTTTCCGACGTCCTGGATCATCTTCACTATCATTATTCTGAATTCTTTTTCTGGAAGGTTGCCTATCTCCACTTCACTTAGTTGTTTTTCTGGGGTTTTATCTTGTTTCTTCATCTGGTACATAGCCCTCTGCCTTTTCATCTTGTGTATCTTTCTGTGAATGTAGTTTTTGTTTCACAGGCTGCAGGATTGTAGTTCTTCTTGCTTCTGCTCAAGTGTGCTATTCTTAAAATTCTTTTCTCCTTTAGGGTCCAGTACCTGTATTCTTAACTCCTGGTTCTTTTCTATTAGATTTTCCTAGTATATTTCCTTTGGTGTTCACATGATTAAAAATTCAACACTCTCATTCCCTAGATACACACTGAACATTTCTCTTTTCCATTCTAGAGGTATAAGCTAAATAATACACTTTATAAAACTATTTTGAAATTTATCATCTTGATGATATCAATAGACTCCCTATTCCAACAGATGAAAATTTCGCTTGCCAAAATCTTACACTTAACTTTTATATTTTTAAGTTCTACTTCTTTCTTATGTTTCTTTAGATATACTCAAACCTTTGTAGTTTTAATGATTTCTGAAACTCTTATTTCAACTTTAAAGATTTAACTCTCTTATATTTTCCTCTCCACGAACACATCGCAAACTCTCATGCTACTAACATTTCATGTATTACGATGTTTCATTCTATCAGTTTTATTATGACTTATGTTTATATAAATGTTATTCATACTGAGCCAACTACTATACTAGGATTACATTTCTCTCTCTCTCTCTTTTTGGTATAAGTTTATTGTCCTCAAGGTCAATAAAGAGCTTATTTTGTTTAATTTGTATATACTTATCACTAATTCAGCCCCAAACTTTCCAATTTAATTGGATCTTAAACCTCCAATTCAGTTAAACGTACAAGGTAATCTATCTGTTCCTCTTTCTTCCCTCTAATTCAGAGGCGTTTCCCTTAGAGCCCTCTTCTCCTGCTCTGATTTGGACAAGTTGTTCTCTCTGCCTGCTGCACAGCCGTCCTGGGATTTCCATGTTCCTTAGCGTTGGATCCACCTGCTTCCCTCTCTCTTACTTTCCTCTTTTGTTGGAGTATATCCTAAAGTAATTTTCTCAGAAATATATTGCTGAAAAAGAGTCAGGTGACATTTGAATCTCTTGTTCTTTTGTAAGTAGCTTATACTTTTCCCCTTGCAAGTTTTAGAATGTAGTATACAGGTATTATTCTTCTTTTATTTATTTTGCTCACTGATTAATGGACCTTAAGGTAAATTTATTTCATTTCTTTTTTATTTTTCTGTTTTTCTTTTTTAAACTCCTGGTTGTTGGATATTGGACCTCCTGAATTAATCCTGTGTCTTATTTTTTCTCTTCCATTTTCTAAAGAGGGCGCACAAGAGAAGTCACTGTTTTCTCTATGTTATCTTGAACATGACACATCTCTCTCTCCTAACCAGCAGTTGGGCCCTCTTACATCAGGTTTTTTGTGTTTTGGAGGGTGTCCCCAAGGACCTCCAAACTACTTTGTAGACAGACCCTTAGTTAATCTCCCTGACTTCAGACTCTCTCCTCCTGCTCTCCCTAGTTGCTGCTGACTCCAAGCCTTGATCCTCTGTCTTTGTCTCCACTGTTTACATTCACTTATTCAACCAATATCTATGAAGTATAATGTGCCAGGCAGTGGGGATGTTGACCCCAAGAAGCCTCAGATGGCTTTACTTACCCTGTTTCCAGCACTGAAGTCTCCCCAAGTATTGGCAGCCCATTTCCTCTGCCTGCTGGATATCTCCACCTGGATGCCTCAAAATACAATGTTCTCTCCCAACATGCCCTTCCTATATTCCCTGGTTTAGTTAGTGCTGCCTCCATCCACATTCTACATTCTAAAATGTTTGGATCCAGAACAAGCCCCACAAGTTCATTTAGTGACAAAAATCCCTGATGTGCTCTTTTTATCTTCTGTATTGTCAAAGAAAGAGGTAAAAACAAAATTTTCTAGAAGTGAGTCTGGGTTACCTGATTTTGTCCAAAAAAGGTTTTGTGGTAGTTCATAGACAAAAGCACTAAACCAAGCAAACTATCAGACTACAGAAGCAAATATAGTTGAGAACATTTGAAATGACCCCTATACCCAAATCAATCCCCACTGACCAATCTTTAACTGACAGTAAGAAACCATCAGACTTTAAGGGCAGAAATATCTACTTCCTTACTATACCTAGCAATAGCAAGTTAAACTACGGGGAGAAGCTTCCAGAAGTTGTCTCCTCCACTCTCTTCCCCTTCTGCACACTCCAGTCCACTGACCCAGACCTAATCTTCCCTGTGCCATCAGCACTTGCTGACCGCTTCCCATGTGCACCGACAATAAGCCTTTTCCACGTCGTCAGACACAACTATCTGATCTTCTCTACTACTCTGACAATGGGCTGGCTCACCTGATAATAAAAATGATTACCTACTGACAACTCAGCTGTGATAATTGTATTGCTGGTACCATTCCATGCACATTGTTTTAGTTAAAGTGAATACGACTATGCAACCGAAAGGCGTCTGTTGCAGGGCGTAAGAATTTCCTGAGATCTGTGTTTAAAGCCTTTGAGAGCACACGTGCTCCATACCCAGAGTTGTGTAGATCACAACTGTCAAAATCCCAAAGGATTCCATTAAGTTTTTAACAGCACCTGTTACAAAATAACACCACCAACTAATGTGATTAACACGAGAACATTTTGAAACCAAAAGTCATTTTCTTAAAATGCAGAAACAGGAAAAATAAGGAATCCCTTCAAAAATATGTTAATGGTGGCAAATTTGGCTGAATGAAGGGTTAATTCTTCATGGGAGAGCATGAGTTCATTTCCACTTAAAGTACTTTACGTAATGTTACACTTTTACACCGTGTCTTCTCATTTCTTTGTGAAGAAGGTGGAGCTGAACAAATTATATTGGTATATAAAGATGTTAATAATACTAGATTCTGCTAAGGGGAACACTTTTTTTTTTTTCTTGACATAGTTATCATTTGATAACTTCCTGGTAAAATTCTGTATAACTAATGGGCCACAGTTCTGCGATTGAAGAGTTGCACTTGTACGGCCTCTAGGGGTCAGCATAACTCGAAGGAAGAGCAAGGGCTGCAAACAAGAAAAAGCAAGGATTTGCAGGTTCTGAGGATGACGGAGCAGTGGAAGGTGGAACAAGAGGTAACCCCTGAGGATGAGGACAAAGGAAGTCGACTCTACAGCCAGTCCACACAGCGTTCCTGTTTGTGCTCAACAGAAACTTGGGGACCCAGATCATTGAATAACATGTTGCCTATCACATAAACTCCCTTGAAACCACTGGCAGTACTTTACGATTCCCTTCCTACTTACTGAAAGCCACTGACTTTTTCTTTAATGTCTGTTTCGGCACTTTGGACTTAGACATTTGAGATGTGAGAGTTAAGCACCACAAATTGGCCCTCCCTAAAGTTACGGTTTTTCAATTCGAACTGATTATTTAAAGGCTAGAATGATTGGAGGGGCTGGCTTGCCCTCTCTCTGAGATACGAAATGGTGGATTTTATTCTTTTTACCTATAAACCATTTAATACTACCCCTGCAGAAGTATGGTGATTATAATCATATATTTTGGGGGGAACTCATTAACAAAACTTGCTGCCAGTACGCTGTCTCGCACTCACTACACGATATCAATCTCAGAGATATTCAAAGTGCTGAAATTGAAGGAGGGGTGATTAATAGCACACCTCATTTTTACTTCCTGGTATATTTCCCTGTGCCTCTGGACAATACTCTTGGGGACCACAGCTGAAATATGATTGTCTGCCTTAGTTGATGACTACTATGTGGTGAGCATTTAGCAGTGCTGGCAATCATTTATGCTACAGGAGAAAGAGCACTGTTACTTTTCCCTTCCTTTAAAAGGAGTGCACTTGGGCAGTTCAGACACAGTTTTGGGGCATAAGAAAAGAAATCATTTTCCATTCCTTGCAAACTTTGATTTACAAAAGAACACCAGAAGCTAAAAGCCTTGTTGATTTATCATGTGAAGCAAAGGGTAATTTTTCTCCCCTTGTTATGCTTTCATATAATCATGTTCACTGTCTGTATGGGTGGCATTAAAGAATTTCTGAATACAAATAATAATTTCTTGCTTTCAACCTTCATAATTCACATCGGCAGGCACCCTGCTGGGCGGTGATGCCTCCTGCCAGTGACGCTCAATCTTTTTTGCACACCACTTATCTGCCTCTCGCAGCTGCGAGTTCCACTGATCTCAATACCTGCAGGATAATGCGCCCGTAGGCGTTCTTCAGCAGATTAACCACTTCCGCGTGAGACAGCCCATCCAAAGGCTGCCCATTAATGCTGACAATCCGATCTCCAACCTGGAGGTACAAAAGTGGGAGAAAAATCACTATCATTAAGAAAAATTAAATTTGAGAAGAATGCTTCAAATTCTTTGTAAGTCATATTTCCCATTTGTGGCTATTGTGAAGATTCTGTGTCTCTATTGTGTATGCGTGTTGCAGAAGCATGAGGAATTTTTATGGCTTTCCCCAAATACAGACCAATCAGAGAAACAAGAAAGGGGTCAGATTTGATTATTAAAAGGCCTTTTGTACCTTGGTAATGGTAGTGTTGCATACATCCATTTGCCAGTAATAGTGGGGTGAACAAATTACCTGTTCAATAAAGCTCTACTGAGGAAGCCAAATGTTTTCTGCTTCATTTTTTCTACCTAAATTAAGATTAAGGAGCGATGGGGGGAAAAAATTCATAAGGATGTTGATTCTTTTGGTGGAAGGAAGAGTCTGAGGTCAAATCTCTCAGGTGAAAATCAATTTTGGGTGGAATGAGGTGTTAAAAATGATATGGGAGGCTTTGCAAATGAGCTGCAATTTCTTCTTTCATTGAGAAGCTTTGACACAAACGATACTATTTTTATATGTTCAGGGACATAATGAATTTCAGGTATAAACTTTCTCCAATGCATTTTGCCCTCAGTGTGGGTCTCTGATAGCTGCTGGAGTTCCAGTTTTAAACACAGTGCCCCTGGCTGCCTCGTCCTCTCCCACCCACCGCATCACATGCTGAGAGCACTTCACCATCCCCTTTGTTTACTTTAAGCTTCTGTGTACGTGCGGCCACACCGCTGGCCTGAATCATGGCAATAAATATTGGGATATCTCCTAAGGGACTTCCTTTTCCTCCAGCAATACTGATTCCAAGGGCATCGCTGAGCTCCTAAAAAACAAAGGAAAACAAGGCTTATATGTTTGTTTAACAAAGAGCCACAACCTGACTGTCCCCAGATAGCTGTTGAATAAAATCCCTCCGTGATGCAGGAGGCTACGGTAACACAGGAGTTAACCAATAGCGCCTTTGAAGTCAGAAAGACCAGTGTTTCAGCTCTTAATTAGCTGGAGTACTTAATTAGCTGGGGGTGCTAAGGAAGTTCCTTAACCTCTTAGAGCTTCCATCTCTATGCAGTGCATGAAGTGGGAAGAAAACCACTTACCTCACAGTGTTGATCTGAGGATTAAATGAGGTGATATAGTGCAGTCCTGGCCCACAGAAAGGGCTCAGTAAATGGCAAGAGGAGGAGTAAAAACAAAAAAAACAAAGAAAAACAACCCTATGCTACTGCTCAGTTTGGTGGCCAATTTTGATGCAGACTTGGCAAGTATGTCCTCATATGGTGTTTACAATTAAATTACTGCACATCTCATGCTCTTCTGGGTGTGAACAAACACACTTGGCTCTGAAAGAGCTGCAGGACTATGCTAGAACAAAGGATCTTTGAAGACACCCACTGTAGTGAGTACAGAGTTTGGAGAGAGAGTAACATGCGACCAAAAATGTTCTCTGCGATTGAGATGAGGCAGTTTGTTCACTCCAACACTGGTGAAGAGATTCTGGCCTTTGTGCAGGCTTCCCCCACATTTATGTCCCAGGGTTAACATTTTAAAAATCACTAAAAGAATAAATGACAAGTTCCAGTTTCAGCACGGTGGCATGCACACTCTATAGCATCTTTCTCCTACTGACGAAAATGAAGACCTCTTGTCAAAATTTAAAGTACAACTACCCAAGACTTCTGGAAAGTAAAGAAACTCAAAGAAATTGTGGCAGAGAGCCAAAACTTGGAGAAACGACAGCAGAGGGTGTATCTCCCAGTTGTTTTCCTGGCAGCTTTGTCCTGAAGACAAGACCCAGTCAAGGAGCTGTAAAGGTGGGGCAAACTGCTAAAACTCTGATGTTAACTCCCATCTTTCTGGTCAGAGGAACCAGGAGAAGGAGCCCTGATGGCTGGAGAATGAAGGAAGAAAACTAGAGTAGAGAGAGTCAGAGAAGGGGATCCTGTCCCTCTGTGAGTGCATCCACAGAATTCTCAGGTTCAGTCTAAGCCAAGCATATGAGGGACAGACCCACACTCGGGAACTGAACTGAGTTTTGAACTACCACTTACAAAAGGTGACATAACTTGCAGTCTGAGCCTAACTGGGTGGATGCCTGCTAAAACATAAACACCAGCATTCTTCAGAGTCTACACAGCATAACATTCACCAGGGCTGGGAAAAACCCCTAAGTTACTCAACATGCAAAGAACCAGTAAAATGTGATCAATTTCTTGTTAAGTTTTTTCAAATATGCAGGACAGTTTAAAGCCAAGATGATACCATTGTCTGGTGGGGTTCTCAATTTATGTAGATGTAAACATATGACAACAATGACATAAATGTTAGGGGAGTGGTTGCAGAAAAGGGACCTACAGGGTTGCAAATCTTCTGCAGTTTTACCTGATCACTTAAAAATATACACAGGTTAGTATGTTTCAATTTGACCTCGATAAAGTTGGACAAAGGAAAAAGAACAAAATGACAGCAACTTTAATATTCTGTTTTCCAAAGTGTTTGTGTCTAGCTTCTATTTTCTGAATGCATCAACAGTAAAACCCTACATGCAAATGGTAAGATGCGTTTCATTATGAAGTTTCTGCTCGGACCGTATGTGGGAGAACAGGGTGGGTAGGAGCAGGCCTTTTTATAAAAGCCTGTAAAAACAAGCAGCTGAAATGACTAAGGAAACATAAAATGCTATGTTATAAATCTTGGAATGAGGAGAAATTTATGGAATAATTTGGCTTTGTTCAAATCCATTGTGATGTTTCCTTAATTTATCCATAATTATGCACATGTTGGTACATTTAACTTCCCCATACGAGGAACATTTGAGTTGCCACTCTGGTGGAAAGATACTGGGAACAAATAAGGCAGATTTAGTCAAAGCTGTAGTTAATAATAATGAATTCCTGGACATTCATGATGAACTAGGTACTATGCTAAGTATACTGTATGCATTACACCTCATTTAATCCACACAACAAGATTTACCTTGTGAGGCAAGGGTTATCACCCACAATCTACAGATAAGCAAATTGAGGTTAAGTAACTTGACAAAGGTCATAGAGCTAATAAATGGTACAGTGTCTTTAAACACAGCTATAATTGAGTCCAGAGAACTAAGTTAAGCTGGATATCACTTTACTGAAGTTGATCCATGATTACAAGGTCATAATTTTTTTCACTATTGCTTGAATCCCAAATTTAATGGTAAGAATAAGGAAAATAAAACTGCTTGCCAATATTCTGGATATCACACAGGAGTCTGAAAAATCGCACAGAATTATCAGGAGTCTGAAAATCAGGATTTGACAACTTTATGAAATGAAATGCATTTGACACAATCTTCTCAGGAGGGCAATTTGGCATTATATATAAAAGCCTTTAAACAAGTGTGGATTTTGACTCAACAATTCATTTCTAAGAATTAATCCTAAAGAAATCACCCATGATATGAGCCAAAAAGAAAATACAAAGACATTTTGCTATAAAAGATGGCGAAAGTTGAGAAATATGCTAATTATTTAATAAGAGGACATTGGTTAAGAAAAATTACAGCACATTCATATAATGGAATACTATGTAACTGACAAAAATCATACCATCTGCTGTCAAAAAATAGTTATTCACACGGCTAAAAGTCCACGCTTTAAAGTAAAAAAGACAAGCTACAAGAGTATGTCTAATGTGATACCATTTTTTGTTTTTTAAAACTTAAACACAGTGCACAAAATGAAGTGAATGTGGTGCCCCAAAAAGTTCACAGTGGTCATGTATGTGCTTTACTGTATTTTCCTAAGACTGCTTGTGTTACATAGACCATATATTGCCTTCAGTAACTTAAAAGAGCACACTAACAATCCAATATATTGTATTGAGGGAAAGATGTACATATGCAACACAAATTAGAAAAAAAGCAAAATAACTGACTTACCCTGATTATCTCAATGGTCCTTAGTCCCACATCTGTGCCTATGAAGAAACAACAAATTAACTTTTTAAAAGTAAGAGACGATATATTTAGGATATAATATTGTCCCATGAAAATGGTATCATTTTCTAGGTCTTTCAGGAGGGAATACTGAGGCAAGCAGGCATTATACCCTTTCTCAAAATTCAAGCTGATGACCATCAATCAGGGGCTATGTCCTCTATTTTAAACAAGTCCTCTCTGTTTGAGATAGATGTGGCCATAATCATTTGGTCTGACAAAAGCTGATGGCCTGTAGCAGCTGCTGCCTGGAATATGGTGATTAAATGGCTTGAAGGGTGAGCCATTTTTGTTTCACTGAACATTTTTCCACCTTAATCAATAATAACCTTACCCAAGGGAAGGCTTAAAAAGATGCCTTCCCCACCCCACCCATGATGGGATATGCACTTCTGACCTTCCTCGAGGGACCTGTAATTTAAAAATTTTCTCTCTGGGAATGGTTTGACTTCATGAAGTACTTTAGATTTCTGCTTTTCTCTTTTTCATGTGTAAAGTTAAAGGCATATTCCAAAAACGAATCTCTATGGCTTTCCTTCCTTTAGAACGGGCCTGTCAGAAAGCTTAGGGCTTATGTGGCCATGTTCAAAGATTTCAAAATATTTTTGCTGTACACCTGAAACTAACACAACATTGTAAATCAACTATACTCCAATAAAAATTTTAAAAAAAATTTTTTTAAATTCGGTAACAGGATCGTTTTGCTGAGGGTGTGTCTCAGGTAATACCTGAGTTTTTTGGGGAAGGATCCAAAGCTCTTTTTGTGCTGACCAGGTTTTGCAGGCTGGTGATAACAGGAGCAAGGGGAGGATGAAGGCTGCTGTGCTGACTCTGCTGAAAAGCAAACTCAGTGGTCAGTCTTAGAAATTCATATTTATTATTACTATTTTACTTACTGAAGTAACCATAACAATGTAATAGAAAATTCTGTGGAGGCCAGAAGAGAAAACAAAAATTACTCATACTCCCTCTCTTATCACCCTAAACAATCCCATTTAACATTTGCTCCACTGCTTTTTCCGTTGTATGTGCTTTTATATGTGGTTTCAATCATCAAGGTAGAAAACGTGCAGTAATTTAAGCTTTTTGTGCTCCACATGAAATCAGAAACATTTTCCTGCCTGTTACAGTATTTACATATGATCAGTTAATGCCACTAAGTGTCATTTGGGACTAAAGGCAAAATTTATTTTCTTTTTATCTAAATTACTGATCTATTTTGCTAAACCAAATATAATAAAATCTAGATTTATAGGAACTTCATCAAATAGAATGAACTGTAAGAAAAAGCAGTAAATATCAGGGGAATATATTAGTTTAGGAATATTAAAATTTTTTTTCCTCAAAGATTTTCCTAGAGTTGGTAATAATTCAGCTCAATCTGCTATACCTCCATTACTATCATTTTAAAATAAATCTAACGTTTATTTAAATAAATTTAGATAATGTATAGTCATGTTTGGCTAGTGGCTATTCAATGAAAATCACATGCAATGAAAATCATATGCACAGTGAAGGATCTTTCCAATGCAGAAAACAATGACACCACTAATGAATGAAGAATTTTTTCTACCGAATTCTCACGGTTATGCTTTAACTGCCTCAAAATTTTTAGGTAAACCTAAGACCATAATTATTACCTGAAAAATTATAATCTGTTCCATTTCCTTAGTATGATGAAAGTTGTTTAATATTTTAACATTCCTTAAGTATGAAAAACTTCAAATATACAGAAAAGTTGAGTGATACAGCAGACACACCACCTAGATTCCACAATTGATATTTTACTATTTTTTTTTGTTACATATCTATTCATCACTCAGTTTGCCTTTTAAAAAAAATTCATTTCAGAGTAAGTTACAGACATCAGTACACTTCACAGTGGAGATTATATATATATATATATATATATATATATATATATAAAGGAGTGTTTTTATATTTTTCCTGAAAGGATATGACTTAAATCAATGGTGCTATAATAGATAACTACTCAGAAATGAGGAAGTATAGCATATTATAACCTTTGCCTAAACAAAATCTCAGAACATTGTGTTTGTCAAGGCCTTTAGAAATATGAACTTTGCCTGGAAGTACTCCCGCAGTTATCTGAGGAAAAGATTTCTCAAGTGTTTTTACCATTATACATTTTCCTCTGCAGAGTAAAGATACTCTTTCCTGGTTGGTAGGAAAACACTTTTTTTAAAAAGAGGCTTGGTAGCCCCATGGCTAGAAGATCTCTCTTAATGAACCCACTTTCTCTAGGCCAAGTCAATGAGTTAAAATTCTCCTAGACCCTCAAAAGGAGGCATCTGTCTCCCTATCTTATAATTGCCCAGAAGGAAATCTGTGCCCCTAGAGAGTCCTGACTGCTTTAAAAAGGTTTGGAGGGGAAATGTTTGGGAATGGGCTCCTCTTTTTCTCCATCTGGGTCATGGGCTGATATTCAGTTCTTGAAGATGGAGGACACATCCTTTTCACAGCCTGCTACAAGCCTTCTTCCCATTAGCTACATATCAGTACAGACTCTCATGTCATCTAGGTCATAATTTTAAGGACAAATTAAGGATAAAATATATTTTCTGCTTTGCTTACAATTGAATTAAACTTCTACCCTCTGAAATAAAAATTCTGTGCAAAGAGGTTAAAGAAAAGTATTTGATACCTCGCCCCGGGTTTCTGAAATATGACAGCTCACATTTACATAACAGATAAATGGTCATGGTGGGTTTTTGACCTTTAATAATAGAGCCTCTAAATTTGTTAGTTTTGTATTGAACCTGAGTGTAAACTTTATTCATCACTAATATGCACATATACATTCCTCAAGGACAGAAATCCAGTTCTACCTACCACCTCACCTGTCAGTCCAAAATTTTCTTAAAACACTGGAATTCCTTATACCCCTTTGTGCCTTTGCCTATGCTACACCCTCTGTCTGGGATACCGTTTTTTTGTTTTTTTTTTTTGTGGTAAGCAGGCCTCTCACTGTTGTGGCCTCTCCCGTTGCGGAGCACAGGCTCCGGACACGCAGGCTCAGCGGCCATGGCTTACGGGCCCAGCCGCTCCGCGGCATGTGGGATCTTCCCGGACCGGGACACGAACCCGCGTCCCCTGCATCGGCAGGCGGACTCTCAACCGCTGCGCTACCAGGGAAGCCCTGGGATACCTTTTCTCTCCTTTCAATCTATCAAACTCCTTTTGGAGTGAGACCCAATTGAACCCCTTCTGTGTTGCCCTCCCATACTCTCCAGGAAGAAAAATTTCATCTCCAGTACTGTTCATTCTGCATTCTAACCCCTATGTACATTGGGCTTCAATGAAATCACTCAAGTTGAATCTTCCATTAAGGAAGAAGCCAAGACAACTATTTTGCATCTCAAGTTCCCACTTTTGATACAAGTCTGGTCAGAGTCCTCACCAACTACTGACCTCTAGAATCCTAATGCACCACTGTCTCTTAGTACACATGATATTTGCTGCCCATTACATAAACCAGAAATGCAAACAAAAAAAAAAGTTCCAAACTTAACATGATGTTTATTGGATTTGATTGCTCTGATGATTATCTAAAACAAGCCAGCTAATCTGTGAACCTATCTGAACAATGTCGTTTTTTTCTTCACTCATTTTCTATCACCAATGAGGCAAAAGGGGCAGCTAACTTAATTCCAGAAGCACCTGTGTGCTAACCATAAAATCAGAACATCATCTAAACAAAGGCCTTGGAGTGCCTTTAAGGAAATTAGGAAGGAGACCAAAAGTCATGCTTTTAACCTCAGACAAAGGCCCATCTTAATAACCCACAAAAGGGACTGGGGGGTCACATGTAAGTTTCTATAGTTTCATTATGTACCAAATGGGACTTAACATATCCTCTACTGTCTTGATTTTATCAGCCACTACAATGAAAAAAAAAAAAATACAGTGAAACATACTTTGTTGAAAAAAAAGTGGCACTTACCTCAGCCTTGCAAAGAAACATGAGATGTTTGCTAACCCACAAAATATCACCCACTAAGGCCTCCCTCCCACAGGAGAAACAACCCCCCACTTTGCTCTCCCAGGAATATACCATTAATTGCTCTCAGCATGTGTGAGTGGCTATTCACAAGTTAACTTTATAGCAATATTTAATTGAATGAATAGAACAATATTGTGCTAATGAGGGTCAAATTGCCACCAGATGTTACTTCTTTCTTTTTTGAAATAAACACAGCTGTGTACATGCAATGCCTAGGTAATATAGAACTAATAGTGGGAGAGAAAAGGGGTTCTAAGAAAACATTTGCAGGCAATAAAGGAGAGAAAAATCTAGGGATTAATGAATTCCCATCCCATCTTTCACTTTTCATTTCAAACACATTAAAGTACACTGAACTTGGTGTTGTGAATATGCTGTATATTACACATTACTTCCAAACAATCATTTATGAAATGGGGAACTTTCTCCCAATTGGGACAGGTGAGCCAGTCTAACGGGAAGCCATCAACAACCTGACTGTTCTGTGATGTCTTCCTCGAGGAGGTCCAGGAACCAGCTCGGAGTCTTCCAATCTCTAGCTGCACAAGCCCCTGTGCACACTTGGGAAGACAAGAAAAGAACAGAGGTGAAAAACAGTAGGATTTGTGTTCTAAATTCTCATGGCAGTGCCTCCACTCATCTCTCTGCAGCCAAGAACTGTAAATGGCTGATGAAGGCTGCAGGTAGAAAGGAAATTCAGTTATCAAAAAAATCACACAAGGTCACAAAAATTTATCAGCTCAATGCTATTCATCTCATGATTTTGCGACTTCTTTAAACACATTAAAAGGATTATATTTCAATTCACCTCCTTTCTCTTCCTTTTCCCTCTGATGAAAGTATTTGCGAGCAGTGAAATGATTAAGAAAAAGTGGTGGAAAGGAGGACAGAAAAATCAAACACAGAGGTAATCTAATACAAGTCCTCTCTTGAGTAATACCTGATAGTTGACTATTTGAGGAAAGCAGGATTTTAAAATAAAATTCATTTATCTTTGCAAAAGCTCCTACAGCTATATTACTTGTGAAACAGAATAAGATACACCTGATTATAGTTGAATGGCAATTCACAAGGATTTTTATTAACCAGTTTCTTCCAAGGGAGGTAGGGTCCATGTGGCAAAGACACTTGGAAGGGAACCTTGAGCCTTAGCCTCCCGGCAACTTCAGTGAGAGACAGTTTGGGTGGCAGGAAAACCCCTCAAGTGCAGCTCTGAGATCTTGGGCACACCATTCTACTTTCTCAGACTTTACTGTGAGATGAAGGAATTGGTCTTTAACAATCTTTAATGTTCCTTCAAGCAATAAACGCTGGATTTGATGAATTCATGTTAATATAGCCCAAGAGGGAGGAGGATACATTTTGTGACTCCAGGAGAATCTGTCCCATCAAATGCATTTAGAGGACAACTGAGGATACTTGGAATTCTCATAAGTATGAAAATTCTCACAAATGCATTAGAGGACAATTGAGGATACTTGGAATTCTCACAAGTATGGACCCTATTTAAATCCCCAAATAGGGTTCCCTTCAATCCTGTCAATATAATAGCTTTCTTTTAGGGCTATTCCTGATTGGTTAAAATAATCAGATATTAGGTCTCTAGTAAAAAAAAATTAAAATCAGCATAAAATTCAACACATTTTATAAACAAGCCAGATTAGAACCGTTCCCAGTGGACTTGAGTTATACCAGCCACGCAGAAAGCAGTTAGGGACTCACCTTGAGAATAGTGGCCACTGTTTCCTGGGAGGCACTTCTCATGTCCTCCCCATTCACAGATAAGATCTGGTCTCCCTGAATCAATCTCCCATCAAGGTCTGCGGCTCCACCTTTCACGATGTCAGAAATAAACACTCCACTTCCATTTCTGTGAATACCATAAAGCAGTGTAGTGGCACAACCTAATATTTCTATATTAAATCTGAGACTACTGATATTCTGCCCAAATGATAAACCTCAGAGTGCTTGCCCTTTAAATAGCTTCTACCTATTTACGCTGCCTGTAATATTCACTTTCATTGGCCCAAGGGCATAATTTCTGCAAGAGGATAATTTTAGTGAAATAAAATGGAAATACACTTTAAAAAGTAGAATTAAAATGTACAGGTTATTTCCTTAGAGATCAGCTCAATTATTATCATATGATCTATTTCTAGTCTCTTTCTCACTCTCCCTCTCTTTCCC